CATCATTAGTTCCTTTGATGGTAAATTTAGTAACAAAAGGAGAAAATACAGATCTAGCAGCAAAGTGACTGTAAAAAAAAATGAGAGGCTGAGGGATTATATAAGGATAGCTCAATCTACTGAATACTGTACAAGGAACGGGCAGAGAGGAAATGTATGTTTAGGGATAATGGGGTCCTTAAGGAAGCAAGCCAGACTAATGGGACAAAATTGAGAGAAAAAGAATGGATAGACAGCACACATTGGTTAGCCATAGGGGATGAAAGGCAAACCTGCTTTGGTATCCTAGAAACTTTCAATTACTTGGTAGAAGTATAAAATCTAAGGTTGAATTTAATTTTTATTGTGGACGTGGTGTAGTCTACACACTTCATATATTTTATTTCATTTCCTTCTTCACAACAGAAGTGCTATTTACCCTTCTTATACAGATGAAAATATTGAGAAATCTGAGTGATTAGAAAACTAGCTCAACAGTGCACAGCTAGTAAATACTAAAACCAAGATTCAAAGATAAGCCTGTTTCTGCAAAAACAATATACCTTTTCTACAAAAATATACTTTTTCTACAATATACCTTTTCTATGAAGCCAATATGACTTAAAATTCGGATCTTAGTCTACTACTTTAATCCCATTATAAGTTTACAAAGCAATCTATTTTCAGCTAGTACAGGACAAAGACTGCATGAAAAGGACTCTGATGAGGATGGGAGCCATCTGTATCAGCAATATCACTAAAGATTTAAACATAAGTATTAATTATCTTCAGAAAAATAAAAGCAATGTCAAAAGTTTCAAAGCACTGCTAAAAACAATCTAAAGTACCTTTTACTTATTTCTTTTTTCTTCCCCAGACTTTTCTTTTCTTTTCTTTGGAGAAGTTTTTAGCTGTAGGGTGTTCTTTTTTTGGAGAAGTTTTTAGCTGTAGGGTACGTGCACTCACCAGGCGGACAGAGACAGAGAGACAGAAAAGCAAGAAAACACCCCCCAGGGGGGATGGCCACGCCGCAATCCCTTCTCCTCCATTCTCCTCTTGGGATCTTGGGCACGCACGCACACACACCCAGCGTGAGTTTAAGCCACCGGGTCCGGGACTAGAACCGCAGTCGACTACGTGGGAGTCCAGCAACATAGCCATTACACTAACTGCTGGTCCCAGGGCTTATTTTTTAACCAAACATTTTAAAACAGGGGTCAGTAGTTGGCACAATGGTTAAGCACTGTGTAGAGGAAGCTGGATCTCACATGCCCAAGTGACCCAGACAGGATCCTGACAGAATGGAGAATTGCAGGAAAAAAGTACTACAGTGTGACCAGATCCCATGGGAGGGTACTTTCACTTTCTCTTGCATGTCTTCCGCATAAAATAAAAAGACAATAGTAAGAAATGTAAACCAAAACAAGTCCAATCAAAGTAGAGCATGCTTCTAAGACACCATGCTTTGCAGGCTGGTACCATACAGGAGGCCCAGGTTTGGTTCCTGATCCAACATAAAGGTCAGGACCACTCAACCTTGCACCTGCAAGGTTGGCAACTTGGGAGGCTGGGGCAGGAGGACTGCGATACAGAAGACTTTGTGTAAAAACAAACAAACAAACGAACAAGGGGCCAGCAGGTGGTATGATGATTAAGGCTCTAGACTCCTACAGGGCTGATTGTGGTTCGAGTCCCAGACCAGGCAGTTTGCTTTCACACTTTCCCCTTCTCTCTCTCTCTCTCTCTTCAAAATAAAAAAAAAAAAAAAGATAAATAAAATAAAATGAATAATTCTTAAAAAAAAAAGGAAAACAAGTGGAAAAAGCCAAAATATTTTAAATTTCAAAGTTAGTTTGATAGAAAGTAAAAAAATAAGTTAACTTAAAAGTTCCAAAGCTACCTTACTCTAAAGCAATGGTATTTCCTTATAAGGTGAGAAGAGAATTAATTATATTCTAACAGGTATTTTCTATTACCACATCTAAAAAATAAATTACAAGCACAGTTGATAATGTTCCATTGAGTTATATTTTTAAGGTGTTTCACTTTATTATTCAGAACCTACACAGAATTAATATCTTTGGAAAAAAGTTTTAGTTAAATAGTAAAAAGACTATTTTAGAAAACAATCAAATATTTATAATAAGAAATATATGCTCACATAAAGTGGAATATTTCAGTGTTTCAGGTCCTCAGTAGAAATTGTGGATAGCTACTATAAAATTTTTTAAATTATTTATTTGACTTAATTAATGTACTTAGTTTAATTTGACCCGAGAGAGCCAGAGAGAGAAAGGGAACACAAGAAAGCAAACCTCCGGGTCTGGGCCTAGAACCACAATTCCTAATGTGAGAGTCCAGCGCTTTAACTACTACATCACCTGCTGGCCTCTATTGTGAAATTTTAAAAGTTCTAAATTTTGATTATAAAAAGTAGCCACATTAGACCACATTTTCAAAGATTTTCACATGATTGATGCTTTTTTCATTAGGAGAGCAGGAAAAGGGCAGATCATGTAATTGAACTTAAGTTAATAAGGCATAAGAAAATACGGATTTAGAAAACCTCTAATAACGGCTGATTTTCGTTATTGAAAGCTAATTTTCTTTACAATAAAATTTATTTGAACATTCAAGTACTTAATATCCTAGTTCATTTAAAGAATATGCTAACAACCTAACTTACTTCATTATACAAATTCACCCCACATTATGAACTTATATATTCAACACCTGCGATTCAGGTTAGTTGAACTTTCCTTTATCAGGAACACCTCGCACATAAACAGGTATTTCTAGGAGTTGAGGCAAAACAGAATAACGTAAGCCAAAAAGGCCACAAGGTGCGGTATCTTTGACAAGTATACTGTAAATGCTCATTCCTAATGTCTCACAGAATCTTTTGTTTTGAGGAGTGGGTTGTAGAATAATTCGTCAAAGAGCCTTGCGCCTCCAAAATCCAGCTCCACCTAACACCTGGGTCAAATACTGATGCGGCGTGTGTGGCTGATCAATTTTTTGGTCAATATTTACTTAGAGCTTTGGAAGTGAAAGAAATCTCACGATAACCATTTAGTCTTGCTCCCAGCCTTCAGGCAGCTGAGCTGTGATCTTCAGAACACAGACCCTCCCTTTAGGAAAACGTGTGTGCATGCGCGCCTGTGTGTGTTTGTGTGTGTGCTTGTGTTTAAAAGCCTACAGTCGCCACAGGGATGATCACAGCCATTTGAGTATGTTAAATTCTACTAGAAAAAAATGACAGTTTTTCTCGTCACCAGAAGGTAGGCCTGGGAGATCCCAGCATTTGCACTGACGCTAAATTCTGGAAAGCAGCCAGGAATCTGGGATCAGGTGGAGGCGTCCCAGTCGGGTCTATGGAAACGAGAGAGGCGGGTGGCCTAGCGCCTTCCAGGTAAGGGACCGAGCTGCGGACCTGCGCGAGAGGGGAGCGTGAAAGCGGGAAAGCGGCTCAGCCCTGCGCGGCCAGGGCGCTCCCGCCGCGTCACCGGCGGAGCGGGGCGGGGTCCGCGGCAGCAGCCCGCAACGCGGCGCCGATTCCGGACAGTGGAAACGAACCGCAATTACGGAAAGCCAGAGCCCGGCACCGCCGCCGCCGCTCACCCCGGCCCCTTCCCAGCCTCACAGCCGGGAGCGGAAGAAGATCTGGAGCACGGCACGAGGAAGAAACATCCCCGCAATCAGGGAATACTTGTCTTCTGCGCTGAGGTCCTTTGCCTTCCCGAGCGGAGTGTCTGGGTTGCTTTTCTCAGGGGGCGGGGGAAGCGAGGCCCGCC